CAGGAAAGGGTGTTGGATTTTATCAAATGCCTTTTCTGTGTTGATTGAGATGATCATGTGATTCTTATCCTTTGTTTTATTTATGTGGTGAATTATGTTGAGTCGTTTGCTAGTGTTGGACCATCCTTGCATCCCTGGTATGAATCCCACTTGATCATGATATATTATTTTTTTGATATGCTGTTGAATTCTGTTGCATAGAATTTTGTAGAAAAGTTTTGTGTCTATATTCATGAGGGTTATTGGTCTGTAATTTTCTTTTTTAGTAATGTCTTTGCCTGGTTTTGGTATCAGGGTTATGGTGGCTTTCTAAAATGAATTAGGTAGTATTTCTTTCTTTTCTATGTTCGAGAATAGTTTGAGTAGAATTGGTGTCAGCTCTTCTCTGAATGTTTGGTAGAATTCTCCAGTGAAGCTGTCTGGTCCCCTGAAATCTTCTGAAAACCAAACAATAGATTAGCTTAGCTAGTAAAAAATGTCTGCCACGAGCATTATGCTTTTTTAAGAGCTATCTATATGGGATCAAATCGACAACAGCAACCCGAAAGATTACACAGAAACCTTAGAGGGCAGTGAGTTCGTGTTAATGGGGAAGGGAATGACTCAGACAAGGAGGGTGGGAAAGGTTGTACAGCTCTGGGAATGTAATCTGTCCCTGAACTGCACATGTGGAAACCGTTGGATTGGTGTGTGTTCTGCTGTGTATATTCTCAACAACAACAAAATAAATTTAAAAAAAAAGAAAGAAAAAAATAAATGACACTTAGTATTTTGGTTCTGATTTTGAGATCGTCAGTGAACCAGTGTTTCTAGCACTTCTGTTATGTTACTTACTGGGCACTTCAAACACAACGTTTAAGATGTGGCCCGTGCCTGCTGGATTTTATAAACTAGTTGAAGAAATCAAATGAACACAGATTAAATAAACAGAAGGGGATATACCATGGTGTTTAAGGAAACATCACAAGGCACTGTGCCCATAGCAGTGCTGTGGGAGTTTTCGGAAGTGAGAGCTTGGGGGGTGGCGATGGGCGACCACAACAGCCGCGGAAGTTAAGAGGTTCGGGGGAGACGTTCTAGGTGGAAGGAAATCATGTAAGCACAGGCACACACACAAAATCTCAGAAATGGGAACCCTCAAAATAACTTTCTACAACTAGTTTTTTAAAAAAAATTATAAAAGTAATAAATGCACTTGGTTTTAAAAACCTCAAATAATGCAGAAAGGAATGCAGTGAAAAGTGACAGTTGTGACTTCTCCTTGGCCTTCCCCTCAGCAGTGGAAAGCTAAAATAAAATCTTGGGAGCTGAGATAGAGAAATGGCCCTTTCTTTGGAAATTCACCTTTGAAGGCAGCGGTTCCTGCTGCCAGGGATGGCCCCATAAATAGCTACAACGGCCAGCCCGAGCTTCGCATTCCTTCCGTTGTACAGATGACTTCCTGCCCCCTTTGGGCGTGCAGGCTTGTGGTTGTTAATGGGTTGTTAACATTCAGTCTGTCATCAGTCAGCAGGCGGAGCTCGCCCTGCAGGAGGCCATCAGGATTGCCCAGGAGTCCAACGATCACGTGTGTCTGCAGCATTGCTTGGTGAGGCCCCCCTCCTGTCTCCGGCTTTTGCTCCTGGATTGCATTGGCTTTTGGAAGGCCTCATTTGATTTGGGTTCCAAGGCCTTTGGCAGTGAACGGAGACTAGTTAGGTGGTTGTGGGAGTTTAGGAAGGGCAACCTGTATTTATTACTGTTTTTCTTCATTCATGGCATCTGTTCTGCTTAGGGGCATTTCCTGTCTACAAATTTTAATGCAACTTGCCATGCGAAAGAGTAACCCTTTAAGCGCCACATTTAACACTAACATTAACAGAAAGGTGTGTGCCGTACCTGGTGACGGGGTGAGACAGTGTCCTGTAAAAGCATCATCACCCAGCGCAGGTAGAATACAGAGTTCGTTACCCATCATCTGAGAGCTGCATTCTGCAATTTAAGGCTCTTTTTCTCGACCACTGGCGCCTCACTGCCATCAGGGGTAGAAAAGATCAATGGCTTGTTTGTTTCAGTCTGAGAGTTTTAATGTGTTTGACGGGTTTCATTTAGGTTCATAATTCCTGACAGTATTTTAGAGGATTTATTTTATCCTTGTAAATTGTTAATTCTTTCTTGTGGCCACACTGGTATTTCAGTGGAACTTTAGCCGTTCCCCTTGCCGTGATGCATTTTGATGATTTCTCTTACCAGAGCTGGCTTTATGTGCTGGGGCAGAAGAGGTCTGACAGCTATGTTCTGCTGGAGCATTCTGTGAAGAAAGCAGTGCATTTTGGGTTACCGGTAAGGCGCCATCTTACTGTGAGATTGATTGAATAAATGGTATTCCTGCCCTCCTCTGGAATGAACCAGTGATGGATTTAGAATGGCTGTTTCATTCTGGTTAGTTTCAGATGACCTGAATTATTAATCAGGCCCCTAAGTTCTGTTTGATGGGTTTCTCCCTGTTCCCTCTGTCCTGATGACATCTGTGCAAGTTGCATTTATCAGCTCAGCAAGAGAGTTTTGTTTAGTTTATGGATCAACATGAACTTAGCATGTCTTCACTTAGAAACATTCTAGGAAAGGCTTATTTTTAAGCCAGGGATTGGCAAATCCCTGGGCCCAGTCTGACTCCCTGTCTGTTTATATATGGCCCTCAAGCAAGCAATGGCTTGTAGATTTTAAATGGTTAGGGAAAAAAAAAAAAAAAACAAAGACAATTATGCAGCAGAGACTGAATGTAGCCTGCAAAGCCTGAATTATTTACTGTCTGGCCCTTTACAGGAAGAAGTTTGCCAATCTCCATTTTAAATAATAAACAAAGCCAGGAAATGCTAAACCCAAGAAGCAGATCTGTCGTTTCTCATGCTGAATGACAGAGAACCCCCCAAATCATAGTCCTTAGTGGCTTGATCTTTGACATGTACACTGAGGGGGATTGGAAGGGCGTAGACTCCACATTCGAAGTAGCAGTATCTGTTAGAGTCTAGATTTCTGTTGCATGAAGCACCTTATTCTATCTTTAAAACATCTACTGCAAAGGACCAGAGGCAGTGGTAGCACTTAGAGCACGTTGTCTCCTGAAGTCCGGGGCCAAGTCCAGGAAAGCTGAAAGTAATCGTGTGTGATAATTTCACGTGTGTGTTTTTTAACTAAAGGGGGAGAACTCTGCAGATCGTCCACTGGACTCATTTTTGGGAAAAGAAACTTATAGGTACAGAATTAATTATAATGCCAACAGCGCGCAGCTCCTGGAAAGAAATGATAGACTTCTTTTTTCTTTTTTTGATGATAGACTTCTTAAATACAGTTTTTGTTATGGATTTAAGCTGATTTTTTTTTTTAGATGAGGTTTCATCCTTGATAATTATACCAGGAGTTAATGAAAAGATAATTTGTGGTTCATTAAAAACCACAAAACAAAACCTGTTGCTGTTGAGTTGATTCCAACTCATAGCGACCCTATAGGACAGAGTAGAACTGCCCCATAGGGTTTCCAAGGAGCGCCTGGTAGATTCGAACTGCCGACCTTTCGGTTAGCAGCCGAGCTCTTAACCACTGCGCCACTAGGGCTCCACGCTTCATAATTGGCATCATAATAGGTATTATTATTTTTTTATCTCCTAATATGTTGCCCAACACTGTATTTTGCATGTATTATTTCATCTAATCCTTACAACAGTTCCTTGTGGCAGGCTTAAAGCCCATTTTATAGATGAGGAAGCTGAGGCATAGCTAAGAAGCTAAGTGACTCGTCCCAGGTGACACAGTGGCAGAGGCAGTGGTTCAGTCCAGATCCATCTATCTCCACCAGCCTGTCTTTCAACCCCAATTTTTTAGGAACACACCGCATACGTTAAAACCAATTCAGGCTGTAGGTACTTTCTGTGTATGTCTCTGTTTATGTGTTCCAATAAAACCTTATTTTCAAAAGCAGACAGCAGGCCAGCTTTGTCCTTTACTAACCATGGCTCTAAGTCTAGAAACCTTGGTGATGCAGTGGTTAAGAGCTATGGCTGCTAACCACAAGGTCGGCAGTTCGAATCCACCAGGAGCTCCTTGGAAACCCTGTGGGGCAGTTCTGCTCTGTCCTTTGGGGTTGCTATGAGTCGGAATTGACTCGACCGCAATGGGTTTGGTTTGGTTTGGTTTGGTCTAAATCTACTAGAAGGCAGCTTGTTGTTTAAACTAAACTCGTAAAGATTCTTTAATACATTAAAAAGTCGTTTTGTAATATACTTCTGCCACCCCTGCACATTTTTTTTTGTTTTTAATTTTGTAAATTGGATTTAGGATATTGGATTTGCTTAGAACAGGGCAAACCCATACCAAATTTTGACTGGAAGGAATCTTGAGCAGTAATTTTGCTTAGTCCCCTAATGTGTGTTTACTTTCTTTTTAAATAGTAGTCCTGTCATTGTACATGTCTCAAAATGTGAAAAATGCCAAATTTCTGAAGAGCAAAAGGAAAAATTCTGTGTTGTTCTCTCTCTGTCTGTCCCCTCCTTGGTTGTGGGTCTGTGCTGTCAGTACCTCGCGTCCCTGGGAATACAGTCCCTGGTGCAGCAGAGAGCTTTTGCTGGGAAGACGGCAAACAAGCTGATGGATGCCTTGAAGGACTCTGACCTCCTGCACTGGAAGCACAGCTTGTCGGAGCTCATCGACATCAGCATTGCCCAGAAAACGGCCATCTGGAGGCTCTATGGCCGCAGGTGGGCCTCCAAGCCAGCAGTCAAGGCCATGGAGGCATGGGTATTTCTAGAGAGAAGCAGGATGTAGCAAGCTGATTCTGTGAAAGGCCAAACATAAACGGTTTTCCCTCCTTTGGTAGAAATTCTTCATGCAGGGGATTAAAGAAAATATAGTTTAGAAACTTTGTATGGACTTTGCCAAGCCTTTTCCCAAGCACGTTCTTATTTGCCCCCGCCAGTGACTTGGTGAGGTAATGGATGGCTCATCCGTATTTCAGGATGAGTAAACTGAGGTTGACCCAGCTGGTCTGCCTCAGATCACAAATGTAGTTAACAGCTGATAGAGCCAGGACTCACACCCAGTCATGTGACTCCAAGTCCTCTGCCACTGGGCTTCTAGAAAGGAACAGTTACTCGTCTTGTTCACAGGAGGCTTGGTCAGGCAGAGCATCCCCTGAGCCCCAGATCTGTTGTATAAGAAAGTGGTTTCCCTGTTAGCAAAGGTATCTTCCCTTGAACGTTCCCAGCAGCGTGTTTACTTTTCCATTTAGCCTTCTTTGGCTCAGGAATAAACTTCTTAACCAGAGTTTTAATTCTGGAGCCCCATCCTTACCTCACTTCCCACCTAGCCAGTCAGCTTTTTCTCAGTATGCAGTAATGAAAGGAAGTGCCTATTTTACCAGTTCTTGAACTTCAGAGAGCTTCTCCGCCCGCTGTAGCCTGAAACAGCTGCAGACAGTGGCCACTGCACGTGCTGCTGGGCAGCCAGGACCAGGTTGGCCTCGAGTCTGCACTCACCCATGAAAATGAATTAACACGTGTGAGCACACAGGAAAGTGAGGGCCGTGGGGTGGGGAGCTCCCGGTTGTGCTGTAACCGCTGCATCCTTCCTTTGAGGCTGCACATCCGGATGCCTTTCAGCGCTCCCTGTCCTGCAGCAGGAGTGTTGGCATTGGTAGGCAGCTGCTGTGCCCGGAGGGGGCTTTAGCTTCCTTCCATTCCCACTGGAGATGACTTCAGGGTGCCACTGAGGGGCTCACTGAAGGCAGATGCCTCCTGTCCCCTCTCCTCCCCCAGCACCATGGCCCTCCAGCAAGCCCAGATGCTGCTGAGCATGAACAGCCTGGAGTCGCTAAACGCAGGCGTGCAGCAGAACAACACCGAGTCCTTTGCTGTCGCGCTCTGCCACCTCGCGGAGCTACACGCTGAGCAGGTAGGCAGGTGGCTGGGCTGGCACACTCCTGGGGCAATGCAGGCGACACCGCCGTTTTTCTCTAGGTCTTTAGAAAAGCGCTAGCCACGCCTTGGGCACGTCTGCTCGGATGCATGTGGCTGAGAGGGTGAAATCCCACCAGTGGCAATGGACTGAGTGGGGCGTCTGCAGGGCTTTTGAACTTGGGCTCCCTTCTGGCTTCAGGGAGGGAATAAGAGAGTTAGCCACTTCCATGTCACAAATGGAATAAAAAGGAGTCTTTCAAGTTTCAGGTAGAAGAGGTGTGTGCGTGTTTATAGGAGCAGACAGAATGCACTAAACGTGTAGCTAAAATGATAATTACTAATATTGGTCGTGCGTTTACTCTCTGCCAGGCCTTGTGCCTGGTGTTTTACGTGTATTATCTTACGGAATCCTTACAATAGCCCTGTGAGGTCAGCTTATTATTATCCCTAGTTCACAGAGCAAGAAACTGCGGCCCAGGGAGAGATCCTATCCCCACAACCATAAATGTCAGAGCCAGACCCCCAGCCCGTGTCTGGTTGTCTCCATAGAGGGCAGTGGGAATTGGACATAATGTTGGCTTACAGCCTAAGTCGTTTATATGATTGTCTTGATTGCATGTTGCTATGGTGCTGAGCAGGTCTCAGGGGAGCTTGTAGACTAAGACAGGCTAGGAAGAAAGACTCGGTGATCTACTTCCAAAAATTAGCTAATGAAGACCCTGTGGATCACAGCGGTCCAGTCTCATTGTGCACAGGGTCAGCATGAATGAGAGGCTGACTTGACCACAGCTAACAACAAGGTAAAGATGGACATCACAACAATATAGAAGTATAAATAAGACACAAGCAAGTATTCACAGAAAAACTATAAGTGGCCAAATAAACGTGAAAAATATTTCATTCTAATCATG